ACCAACCAGGCTGCCAAAAGTCTCGAACTGAAGAAAAAGAACCTTGGGAGGCAGATCCTAGAGCACCAGGGACAGGTTATAGTTCTACTGAGCTATCTGGATTGGGAGTCTGAGATTGAAAACAGAGATATACTATAAGTATTAGGAATATGCTATGAAGTTGGTGCTAGGATTTGGGTGAACTCTGCAAGGATGAGCTCTATTAACAAGATACTAAATGTGAGTAGTTAGTTAGCAAGAAGGCCTTCTAGAGCCCTATAGTCAGGTGATGTACTCTGAAATGTGTAATGGCTTGATGAATGTACAGACAGGAAGGTTACAATTAGGTTAAATGACACTTAGATATACAGGAACTTGTGTACTATTTGTCAGTATAAGTATAGAGATCAGAGTGTTTAAATAGATAATCTTCTAGTAGATTGCAAGTATGGCAACTAGTGTAAAACCTGCTGTATAGGCAGACTACTTAAAATAGGCAACCAAAAGTTGTACATGTGGCTAGTTGTATACTCACCTTGTACAAGTTATATAATCATAATTAAATACAATAAAGACAATAGTCATTAATAACTATGGCCTTAGTATAAGCAAAAAAAAATTTTTAAAATAAAAATAAATATATATACAATATTAAATAATAAATTAAATAATTAGAGAATGTCAATCCTAGTATAGTGGTTAGGTTGTTATCTTCTAAGTGATAGGTCTAAGGTTCAAATTCTACCTATACCAAAATTTGGAAATTAATCTGTATTATAGCAAACTGTCTCTTAACAAATGATTAGATTTGTATATCTGTAATCTTAAGTCACATCATCTTGAATAAGAGCTTGAGACATTTATATAAAATGTAATATTATATATATATAAAGGAATATTAATAACTAGTATTGTATAAGATTTTATACAAACTTATAATAAGACTACTGGATATAGTAAAAACTAAGAAACTGAAAAGTTAGAAGCCTACTTGAAAATTTTTAAGTAAAAAGATAGTATGAACTTTTAACAGTATAATCAAACTAATAGAAGCCTATAAAATATTTTCAAAAAGATAGGCAGATAAACTGAATAACAAAATGTGTAAAGGAACATATAACCAATTAGGCTGTTAAAATCACTAAAGAGAAGAATACATATATATATTATACTAGACTATCTGAATTGGAAGTTAGAAAAGTTTTGTTGGTTCTGATTAGCAGTTAGTAAGAGATAATAAAGAAGACATTACAATAATAGGTACTGAGATTAAAGTAAATTTTACAAGAATAGAAATAGTATAATGTAGTAGTTAAACAAGTAACCTTTGTGACTGCAAGTATTAGATAACTATAGTATATTGCATAAAACTAGACCAGCTGTATATAGGACATGAAAGGTTTTAATAAGTTTCTTGTTAAGGATAAATTAGTTCTAAGAGTCTCAAAAGCATCAAATACTTTGGATAGGTGTAGCCTAAAAGATGTTCTTGTAATTACAAGTTGGACTATATATGCAAAGAGTTTAAATAGACAAGATTTGTAATCAATTTGCAAGTATGACATTTAGTATAGAACCTGTATAGTAATGTATAAATGGATTACTTAAATTAGGTACTAAAATTATATGTGTAGCTAGTTGTAACCTCCTATATATAAAAGCTCCTAGAGGCATCTGTGTTTAAATACTTAAATAAAAATATTGATTCTTAAAAATAATAACTTTAATGTTAAAAAAAAAAATTTAAATTAAATTAAATAATTAAAAGATATAATAATTTAATAAAATAGATAAGTTGTTAATTTTTAAATGATAATTAGATATTTGAAACCTATTTAATAATAAAAATTTGATTGAATTAAGTATTTATAATTATAATTGCATTAGTATAACTAGTAAGCTATATATTATTTGTATAACTAGTTATACAAAAAGATGCAAACCAGTAATTATATAAATTTATAGAAATTAAAAAATAAAAAATTTATTTGAAAAGATTTAAGCTAAAAAATATTATAGAACTTTATCATATTATTGCAAAATAATGTTTTAAGATGTTATTTAAAGACATATTGTTTGAAAAAAACTAATAATTAATTTAGCTGAAGATTTGTAATAACTAAAAATTTTGATTTTCATTTATTTAAATTAATAATCAGCTCTTTTTAAATAATATGTTTTAAAATAATACTCCAAGATATTATTTTATAATAATATAAGAATAGTACTACTATAAAATTTAAACTTAAAAAATAGATACTAATACAAAGAAACCAAAAAATAAAAATCTTAGATAAGAGGTATCACTAATCAGATTACTAAAATTGAATTGGAAAAAAAATATTAAGCAGATCTAATATATCAAAGAACAGATTATAGTTCTATTAGATTATTTGAATTAGAAGTTTAAAAACAAAATAAAGATATACTAAAATATTTTAAATATTTTATAAAATAGTATTAGAGTTTAAGTAAACTTTATAAGCATAACAGTTTAATGATCAATCTTAATTGTAAATGTTGATTTTGTTATAATAATACCAGATCAACTGTAAAAATAAGTACAGAAGGTTTCAAAAAATTTATTTTAAGAATAAATTAGATCTAAAATTAAGATTATAATCTAAGTATAACCTAGTGAAGTTAATATGAGTTGCAAATTTAAAAGATTTAAAAATAAAACACTTAAGCAAAAATGTTAAGTATAACAATTAATGAAAAATCTTTGGGTGAACTTCTTAAATAAATAATATAAAAAAGTTACATATATAACTAATTGTATATTTTTTCTGTAGTAGTTTTTTATAGAAACATATTACCAAAAATCATTAATAAAAATTAAAAGACTCAAGAAATCACTTTAAAAAAAAAACAAAAAAAAACAAATAATTAATATTAATGTTATTATTAATTTTTTTGTTTATATTTCTAAATTAATATTATTGATAAGATTAATTATTAAAACTTTTAAGCAGAGTTTTCAAGACATGTTTAACTAGTAATTTTATATTAAAGTATTATTATTAACTATTTAGTGCCCACTATCCTTATCTTTAAACTTTATTTAGCTTTTATATTGCTTTCATATTAGGTGGTTTTGCGCGACCATATTGCGCAGCTACTTTATAGAGCCAATGTTAGTTTTATAAATTTACCAAATTTAGAAAAACTACATAAATAAATACGTAGTTTATGCGTTTTAGAAAATTACTATATATATTGTTTTATATAATTACTGTATATTTGAAATTTAAATACTACGTATACGTACGTAACTTTTTTTACAAAGTAAAATTTAAAATTTGACTGGTAACTTTATTTTTTATAATAAACTTTATAAAAATATTGCTTCTATAAAAAGTTGAAGCATTTTATGTATTAATATAGACTGCCGGCTGCTGTACTATAAAACAGGCATAACGGTGTCACGTTATACAAACTGAGTAAGGTAATACAAACGATATACGTACGTATAGAAATTTCAAAATATGATGAAGTATGTACGAACAAAAATGGTAGATTAAATTTAAAAGATTTTTTGTTTAAGCCAATATATTATTGCCGTAATAGTTTCTTTTTTAGATAATTAAAATAACGAACTAAGCACAATAATCGAGCTTTAAGTATATGTAAAAAAACCTTGCAATCCAAATTAATCTAGACTTGAACATTTATAGTATATTTCGGAGAAACAGAATCTAATAGGAATACTGTTTTCATGTTTATAATAATGATGAATCAATTTATGGAGATATTAAATCAATTAATGTACCTCTAAACATAGACATAGGCAGGAAAAAGCGTGTTCGATAATAATTTAAATTCGTACAACGATAGTAATTTAAGACTCATTCAATAAAAGATAACGATAATACCTGATATATCTATATAAAATTTGTTCAACGACGGTAAAACAGGTCATTTCTTAAACTAACCAAAATAAGAAAGCATGGATCATTGCGATAGTCATGTCAAATTTTTTCGTTGAATTGAAAATATGCGCCGATGTATGTACAACCAATCGGTATTACATAAATAAAACTTCGTACGTACGTAATCTTTTGGATGTTAATATCGATATTATCGATATGAGTGACAGCAAAGGAAGATTAGGCTTTTTGTGATTTCAAATTTTTATTATTTATTATTTACTGGACTCAGCCTTGATCAGAGACACGTATGATACGTAATTAAATTTACTTATCGGTTAACTGTTAAGTTATCATTACGTACGTATCCTATGTGTCGTCAGTCTAAGGCTAGTATAAGGCTGAATTCGGCAAATAATAAATCATAAACTTGAAAAGTCAACTATTCGTATCTGTTTATATCCCAATGTATTTTTTTATATGCCAGAATAACAAACAAAAATTTATTAATGTTTTAAAGCTTTATATTATCCTAATATTCTTATTAACGTTAATGGAAATGAATCCGTACCTGGTACGTATAAGTATACGTACGTTTGTACATTTGTACGTACGTACGTACCTTTTTTGTTAGTATAACATTCTTAGAAATAATATTGTCATACATGTTTTAATCCGAAACTTTAATGTTAATTGCTTTAATGTTTCTAAATGTTCATTATAAAGAAGCATTTCCTTTGTACGTATAAATATGTTCGTTGCAAATCATCTCTTTAATAAGTTAAACGGAATTATAATTATGGGAAATAAATATTGAGAATCGATTTGTATTCAAATAAATTAAGAAAATTGGTACTTAAGTGTAAGTACAGTACATACATGTAACGCATCTCTTTTAGGACTGGGTTCTAGAGAATACAAATACGTGGTTGTAAATATTATTTATTACATTGGTGTAAGTACTGAATCAACGATTAACCAATCAAAAATCATATTATTGCATTTTACGCATGCATTCGAAATACGATACTGACATTTGCTGGCATATATAGTGGTCCAATTGAATATTAATTATACGTATTAACGAGAAAAAAAAACACTTAGTCCTTTTGTCTTTCCTTTAGCTAAAATAAAAAATCCACACATCTTGATATGGCTTTACCACGGAAAATCACACGACTTTTCTCCAAATTACAGGTAACGGTAACGTATAGTAACAATAATGGCACTTGTAGCATGGGCACGTGTATTATCGTTAATTGCTAAAACATTTTTTTAACGTTAAGAAACAAAAATCAGGACCAAAAAAGTTGAGAATTGACACTTCAAGGAATTCAAGTGAGTCAAGTGATTTTGGTAGTGAAGAATGATCATATTATATAAAAACACCTAATCATACTCACCTTTATCAGGATTCCCACAACCTTTATCACCATCTTTATCAGGATCCCCACCACCTTTATCAGGATCCCCACCACCTTTATCAAGATCCCCACCACCTTTATCACCATCTTTATCAGGATCTCCACCACCTTTATTAGGATATGAGATTAAATCACCAAAATCTTTATTAGGATCAGATATTAAATCACCACGACCTTTATCAGAATCTGATATTAAATTTATAATTCCACCAGAAATTTTCATAGAAATATGTTTACATCTTGCACCACAAGATCTTTACTCTCTTTCAACTGTATGCAAATATTTTCGAAATATTTTATGGTCAACTTCAAATACTACACAAACAATTTGGGAAAAATCTAGAATTAAATATTCAAGTTATTTAAAATTACCACCTCCATTTGATATGACAGAACAAGAATACATTTGGTTAACCTTATTACCAAAAAATTGTCAATTTTGTTCAAAACCTTATAAACAATATTTATACAATATTTGGCCTTCTAGAATTGTTGCATGCGAATCTTGTTTTAGAAAAAATACTATTTACACCATGTAAGTCTTGGGTTGTATATTTAAATATTTTGATTTTTATATTTATTTATTTATTTATATATATATATATACATACCATTTTTTATAAATACCATTTTTTTTATACGTATATAGAAAAGACGATCGACCACGATGCATTCCTCGAGAAATTTTTAATTGTATTCCACACACGAGATATTTTTATTATGAAATTTTTGTAATTTATTGGATCTCAGACATAGAACTTGCAAAAGAAGAATACAATTCATTAGATAAAAGTCAAAGAGAAGAATGGATTGGAGAACGAACAGAACAAGTTAAAAGAGCCAAAGAAGTGCTTAATTTATATTTTCAACAAGATTATCAAGAGGTTTATAAATGTGGTGTTTTTAATCCTAATCGTACTAATAACGAACCTCGAAAAAAATTTTAAAAAAATTTCTATAAGTAATACTGTAATACGTATTCAGTTATTCAGTATTATATTTACATAGTACTTTTCTTTTTTTTTTTTTTGATCGTCCAGATTAACCAACTAATTAATTACGTACTGTTATTAGTTAGTTATTTCCCTTTTTGATTTTAATGATTTCTGTAGTAAATAGTGTATTTATGATTTACGTACTATGCTACGTACGTAATTGTAACAACTGAAACCAATACGTTTTAAAAAAAGTTATCGTTATGAGTGGATTAAAAGATCTTAACCTTTCCAACTGTATATTACATAAACAAACACACATATATATATATTATTCAAGTTAAGTATTGCTATTTTCAGTTTAGTTCCTCCGCTGCTGTGTCATCCTATTTTTAGATGCATTAACTGCTGGATTTAATATATACATATATATAAATATATATAAATATATAGAAATATATAGAAATATATATCGATTGGCTAAACGTTAAGATTTAGCTCATCCTTTTTTTTTATGCTATATATAAATAAAAGGTTAGAATTTCTTAGCAAAAAAAAAAAAAAAAGCAAGCCCTATTTTTATATAAAAAAAATTTATGACTTACAACGACAAAATATTCCTTGTTTCATTAATTAAACAATTCAATATCGATATCATTATTAATATCATTATTAATATCAGTTGATAGAAATAAAATGTTAAAAGATTAGTAAAAATCAATTTTTTCATTCTTTTCATTCTTAAAAATTTTTTTCTTTTAGTGTCGTGATAAAAAAAAAAAAAAAATTATGGCACTGAAAACAACTGAATTACAAGGTGTCTTACCACACTCAAGTTATGTGCAAGACCGTGGTACATCTACTACCTTGGCAGATAATCTTTCTTTAAAGGACAATAATTCTAAAAATGCCAAGAAAAATCTTAATTTTGTAAAACGTGTAAGAAGATTTATGAAGCTTCATTGTAATAAATCTCGAATAATCCTTCTCATAATTTTTCTTATAACAATTTCTGCCATAATAACAATCGTCTTAATTCTAAATAAAAATCCTTTTGTATTAATAAGACCTCTTTGTAAATCTCAATTCGGTATGTCATCCCTTAATCAAACATTTAATGCCTTAGCTAAATTAGAAACAAATCAAGTCGATGATAGTTTAATCTCGTACAATTATGTAGATTCTTCTGGTTTTACAGGAAAATATAGATTTGGTGAAATAATGTTGAGTAATTTAAATTATTATAAAACAAATTTTACTCAAAATGGAACCGATATTAAAAATTTTTGGAATGGAAGTTGGACTGGTAAAAATGGTTGTAATAGTTATGATGATTTTTTAAATAATAAGTTGAATGTTCAAGAACGTGCTATTAGAGAAGCTTTTCAATTTAATTTACTTAAAATTACTCAATTATTATCTTCTCCTCCTTATAATCAATCTTTATCTTTTTTTTTAGACAACCCTTTTAAATTTTCTTCGGGTTGTAATTTTCAATCTGATGGTTTAAGTGTTTCTAATGTTACTTTGGCTGGTATTTTGGCCTCGGCTTATTTAATTGATCCTGATGAGGTTGGTAAAGCTTTGGTTAATAGTGTAGCCCCTTGTGATAATAGAACTTCAACTAGTTTAATAAGATATTTTATGGACTTTACTGGTTGTGATTTTAGTTCTGATAATGTTAATGAAGCCGTATCTTCTTTTGACAATGTAACCAATGTATCCAATGTATCTAGTATATCGTAAATTCTATGTAATATAATTTAGACATGATAACTCATAGTTAGCAGAACATCCCAAGATTATTATCGTTATATATATGTTTTTTGGATATTAATTTCCAAATATAAATACAATTCCTACCTGAATTCAATTCATTCAATTCCTAATTGATTTTAAAAAACAAATTAATATATACTATATTAAGTGCTTGACTTTGTTTATATTATGTAATTTTTACTCTTGTGCATTGTTACCATATTGTGTTAGTATTCTAATTTCGTGTTATTTATTTGATATTTATATTCCGTTAAAACATCTAATTCCGATTATTCTCACTCAAAGATCTTTATTTTTAACTCAGTAAACGAAGAGTACATGTATATACTATATTAATGAAGATAAAGTTTCTTGAATTTTTTGTAATCATTTGATTCTTTTTTTGTAGATACCAAACTTTCTTATAAATAATCGTTAAATAATTTGAGCGAAACGATTTTAGTAGTCTATTAGTAGTCTATTAGTAGTTTGACGTGTCTCAGAATTGGATTCTCATAGAGAAAATTCAACCTAATAATAAACTTCTATCAAATCGATGAAAAAAAAGGTCTTTTGTATCATGAAATAGCAAAAATAGTAGTAACTTGTCAAATATAAAAAGCTCTACGTAATCTAATAAAATAATAATCATCTTTACAGTATTTTAAACTTGAAACTTGCGGTAATAAGTTCTAAGTTTAGTAAGTTCAAAACATGGAAACTCTGTTGATCTAACGCGAATACTAACCTAGTTTTTTCAGTGACGCGTTATGATCTTTCAATTTCTAAGATGAATATAATTTTAATTTCAATTGAAATGTTTTTATCATATGTCTTCTATTTTTAAATTATGTAAGGGCAATAGAATCTGTACAGAAATTAAATTCATCTCGCACGATCAACGAGCCTAGCCTTGCATTATTATTAACGATATAAACACGAAGAAAATAATTATGGCTTAAATTTATGAATGAATAATTTGAGTACGTAAATGAATACGTGAATACGTGAATACGTACGTACTTACGTGATGCTTACGTATAACATTTAACTGTTAAATATTCTGATGAAAAAGATCCAATCATATGATTTGTGCGAAGTTGACATCTCATTTATATATATATTATTTTACTTGAAAAAAAAATCAAATGATGCTTAAACGATATATTTAGAGAAATCTGATTTATATTTTATCGTTTCTTTGTATATTGGAAATAAAGGTATTTATTTATCTTTAAATGTTATTGTTGATATTAATTTAATTAATAGATAAAATTATACACGAATATAATACAATCTTTTCTTTTTTAAAAGGTCAAATCAAAATAGAAAATTTTATAGAAAATTTTTATTATTGTCGATACTCGTGTCACTTTTATATAAATCACAAATCACGATGAATACTATGAGCAGCAGACCTAGAGACGAGGGTAAAGAAAAAAAAAAGGAACTACTATAATTGTATATAGTATTACTTTTGTCGATGTTCATAACTCTATAATTTTACCGGAAACCTTTTGGTTTTCAGAAACACGCGTTGCTCATTTGGTTAAAGGTCTCTCGTTAGATGAAGATGGATGGGAAGGGCTTGATAATCAATCAATGGATATGGATATGGAATTTACCAAACATGACTCTAAGGACGATAATGTAGATAATTGGGAACCTGATCGTTATGAGGTAGACCAAATTATTGCTCATAAAGTTATGAACGTAAGTGTTTCTTATTTTTTTTCGTGTTTCAATTATTTATTATTCTTTTTTTCTTAATATTCGTGTTTAATTACTTTATTATTCTTTTATTTATTTATTTTTATTTATTTATTTATTTATTAGGGTCAAGATCATTACCTGGTTATGTGGAGAGGTTACTCCAAGGACACGTAATTCTGTTCTTTAATCTTATGTGGCTTTTTATTATATATATACATGTATATATATATATATGTATATATATATTTATTTAAATTTTTATCTTACATCATATTTAAGTTGGGAACCTGTCGAGAATCTCGATGATTGCCGTGAAAAACTTGAAGAATTCCATAAACTTTCCAATGAGATGAATATAAACGATCATTGTCATTCACAATATGAATTTGATCCCGAAGAACGTACTATGTTTTTAAATGCTCTCTATGATTCTGGTCGTATTAACTTTGATCTTTATGACAAGATCGTTCTTGGAAGAATAAAAGATTATGATTATAATGATAATGCTTCTGATCCTAGAATTGAAAAGTACGTTCTTTTATTGGTTAAATTATATATATATATATATACGTATATATATATATATATACGTATATATATATAATTCATTACTTATATATCCTTTTAAATTATTATTATGGTTATCCTTCTAAATTATTATTATGTTTTCAAAAGTGTTCCTATTGCTGAAATCGGTGAAAGAGGTAAAAAAGAAGAAGAAGAATCAAAACGTCATGAAGAATGTGACTTGTTTTAGTTAACGTATTCATTAAAAAAAGGTTTCTATTAAGACTATTTGTTTCAAATTTGTTGATACAATATTCCTATTGTATAAATGTTTCAAGAAATTTTTTATATTAACCTATTTTAGAATTGAAATGTTAAAGGATTATGTCATGTAAATTTTATGAAACCAAATGCAGATAGAATAAATAATATAGAATTTTCATTTATCTAAGCTATTACAATTATTTAAATCCGTTTATACGTACTCTATCACTATTGTTTTTAGTATATCGTGTGCATGAATTCTGTCAAATGATAGGTCAAATACATTCACTCATTATACATTTAACCCTGGATACGTATAAAGAACCTTTATAACAATTCATTCCATACGTAAAAACTTTTTAAGATTATGTGTAGAAACATAGTAAATAATTCTTAAATTTTATTATAACAATAACGAGTAGATTATAGCGGGGTTTTCTAAATAACACATGCTACTGCAAGATGTCAGTCCATACTTTACAATGTTTCTGGAATGTTCTGGTTAGAGATACGGGTCGACCCCGCCCGACGGCGGGTCGATGGGCGGGTCGACCCTCAGCCTGCACCGGGCCGGTTGATAAGAGAAGTGTTAAAATCAATCCCCTTCTAAAACATATTTCAGGCAGAAATTGAATAAATATCAGCTAGTCGTTTATAATAATGTAGGAGAAGTTGGCTCATTTAGGTGATAAAATTGGCAAATAGTGAATATAATATAAGGATCAGGAATGTTCGGAGGCATAGACAATAAATGAGACATAGACAATCAGTTAACGTTAAATACTAAAGTGCTGGAATTTTTTCTTAAGGACAAACCGAATAAAGATTAAATAATTTAAACATCACTGGGATTCGAAAAGAAACTACCTGATGGATATGTCTGATCAGAAAAAATTATACTAGCAAAAAGGTCAACCTGGTCAACCGGCCTGAGCTTTTTTAGGATCGACCCCGGCCCACGATTTTTTCATCGACCCGTATCACTAAGGTTGTTAAATGGAGTGCTCCAGACTATAATAAAACCACTTCTGGAGTGTGAATACCCCATTAACAACCATACTGCGCGGTGGACTTATGTCATCCTTGTGGATAGTCATACAAACGGCCGGATCGGTTCGGCTGTCTCGTCTCGGCTCACGGCTAATGTCAACCAAGCCGAGCAGATCTTTCAGCTTTGCAGACCAAAACCGAATCATTTATAATGACTCTAATTAAAAATTGAGCCAAGTATGCCAATGCTCATAGATGATCGATGCGTATTTTTCTAAAATTTAATGTTACCTAACGCTAATTCAAACAGCAAATGAGCGATAATTAAATTTAAATCTTTGAAACTCGGATTTTTAACTCAATTCACTGATAATCATTTTAATAGGCACCATATTTATCGATTCACAAGTTCATTTCATAGATAGTTTATTTTAATGACAGCCTATTAATAGACAATTTATTTCACTTCTAATAACAATGACTATAATTTGACAGTGATGTCGGTAAAACAAATTTCTATGAAAATGGTTATTGATAAAATAAACTATGTTTGTAAAATTAATTCCTATTCGATGAAATAAACTGTGAAATGAAGTTTTATTAATTGTTTTTAAAATTCATCGGAATAAGATATCTATGAAGTAATTCCTATTTAGTAAAACAGAACCGTTTTTTAACTTTTGAATTATATTTCTGTATTATCGTTATTAGCATGATGAAAATCTATTTGATTAGTTGTCGATCATGTAGTAACACTATACAGCTATATAAAATACAATCGATCATATAATAAATTATCAATGAATGGGTTTGGCCTCATAGCTTATTGGCTAAGTTCCCAAACCTTCACAGACAAGGTCAATAGTTTGAGTTGAATTGATTGTTTTTGTAATCAATAGAGTTATAATCAAATGCAAAGTCTTATAAGAAGTTCAAGTTATAAGTACAAATCTGTAATAGAAATTTCTAAAAAAAGTTCAATTGTAAAAAGTAGGTATTATGTATAACAAGTAATGTTACAGAAGGTTCTGGTTTAAAATGGTATGCACATGTAAGTCCTTAGGCAAAAGACAACATTAACATTCTTATATTTTCTAATAAGGCAGTATTAACATCTTTATCTCAACTTGTGAAGTACTTGTTTGGAAGGATAATTAAAAAATTGCACAAATAAGTTTAAATTTAGATTTAAGATATAAGATTTGATTTAAAAGATGTTTTATAATAATCAAAATTAGAATAATAAGAAAAGCAATAAATACAAGAATAATTTGTAATAAAGAATTGATTTTAATAAAATTAAAACTATCTCTAATACTTTATAAATAATTAAAATTCTATTTATAAAGCAAGTAAATTCAATATATAAAGATATATAATAATTTGAATTAAAGTTAAAGATATTAGGTTGATAATAAAAATATAATAAAAACAATAAAATACTAATATTAAAGAGTTATAAAATATAGTATATATGCATTGTAGTATATACTTTAATTTAGTCAATTAAGTTTGTAAATTATTTGTATAATATAAAGATCTTATATAACAAAAACAATTTTTTTCTTTAAGTTTTTTTAAAAAAATTCTAATATCTCAAAAGTTTGATTATGAAACTGCTTTTGAAATTTTAATAAAAAAATTATTACTAAAATTTGTAAATACTAATGCTTAAATAAATTTTAGATCTTATTCTAATCCTAAAGTAAATTAAAAATTATTTTTTGGTTTATATATAAATTTATAAATAAATTATAAAGATGTATTTCTATACATCTTATACTAAATATTAGAATTTAATATTAAAATACTAATTAATTTTAAAAATAGTTAAAAATAATATAATGTATTATAAAATTAAATTAAACCTAATTTCAATTATATAATATAGTCTAAAATTATAAAAAAACTTTATATAAATATATAAAAAATATAATATACTAATCTTAATTTAATGGATTCACATTTTTAAAAACAGACAGAAGCAAATATATAAAAATAAAATAAAATTAATTAAATAAATGCATTTAGGATCTTTAAAAAAAAAAAGATTTAAATCAAAAAAACATAAGTACTTTATTTTTATACTAGTTTAAATAATATACTTTGTAACAAAGTTTTGTTTATTTTGTAATTTTAAACAAAAATTTTAAGAAAATTAAAAAATTATCCTAGATCTAAAAAAAGAAATAATTAAAACACATAATCAGTTAATAATAATAAAGTTAACAACAAAACAAACATATTACATTATACATATAGTAATTATTAATTTAATTAGGAAATAACATATTAATTATTTTAAATATATCATTAAACAAATAAATAAACAACATACTAATATACATGACTGACTTCTTAGCAAAACAACATACTTTCTTTTTGCCTTTAAACTTTCAATATACAAACATTTCAACACTTTTCATATTTTACAATAGGAACAAAATCCTGTTGAGCTTCTTACCTAATACTTTATCAAAAATATTTACAAAGCTCATATATTGGCAATATGGTCTTCATAAAAAAGAAACAATGAATGGTCTCATATTAACCACTATATAGACTGACAATCAACATGGCTATATCTCAATCATAACCAAAAACCCTCATCCAACTTTACTAGTTTCAAACTTAATCAATCTAAAACTTTTAAAATCAAAACTCTATTGAATAAATTATCAACATACTTTTCTTTTTATAACATTTATTCAACTATCTTTACAAATACTAACTGCTTTTGATGTAAACTTCCTGACTCTCACTCATACTGACTAACTTGTCTTAACCCTTCTCTTATAACAAACATTATTAATTCATCAATTCAGCATATTTTATCTAAAGCAGATCTTGATTTATCTACTAGCCAACTTCATGAACTTATTCAAAAAGTTCAAAAACATTCTTCTTTTGACTGAATACCATTTCAAGCAAACTCTCTCTATCTGGATCTTATTTTTAAAGGTCTTATATTCAAAGCTTTAATTGAAACAATCCATAATTACAATATATTAACTAAGATAGCTTTACAAATTATTATTTAAACACTCCTTGATATTAATGATCAAATTTACAACCAAATATGGAAACCATACTGCATTGACCTCTCTAACTGAAAAAAATAACAATATTACATCTCTTCAAACTCATAATACTCACAATACTTCACAACAAATACAACAAACCAGATATTACAAAAGATTATATACAAATTATATATACTCATGTCTATGTAGAATAGCAGATCAATTACACTTATGTCCCAATATTTGTCTACCAATTGGACAAACTATTAGGAAAATTAATATATAGTCAACACTTTGAATTAATCATAGTACATCTTATAATTATATTTTAACATTACAAATCTAGGCAGGTTTTGACCACCATAGTTAGTTTAGGTCATAGATAATGATGTCTGAGCTTTAATTCTTACATGTAGTTTTTATTTTGTATTTTACAATCTTAGTATATCTTTAATATATAGTATATTAATATGTACAACTAAAATTACTAATAAAGATATGAGCAAGGCCTCACCTTAATACCAAAAAAAAAAAAAAACAAATCAATATACTAATCTAAAAATAAAGATAGGAGTGTGGCAACTTAGTGAAGTGGATAAGTTGTCAACCTCCAAGTAATAGGTAGGGAGTTCAAAACCTACTGACAGTGAAAATTCAAAAAACCACCTATGTATATTGGTATTATGGGCATTTGTGCAATGTTGGAGTTATACAGAGAAATGCAAACTAGTATTAGGTAGTGCAAACTCAAGATAAGTCCTTGTGCCTAGTACTACAGCAATGGCAATCTGTCGATCAGTTGGGATCAGTACCTGTAACAAAGTCATACCAGATAACTGGCAAGTTATGAAGTATCTGTACAATGTTAAAATTACACAAAGGAATGCAAATCAGCATCGAGCAGTGCAAATCCAAAATAAGTCCTTGTAGCTGTGTAAATTCATGAACTGGAAAAACTGAAACCCACTTGGGAAAATCTAAGTAAAGAGGTAACATGGATCTTTGACAGTACTACTGTAAAGGTTAGACCTAGAAAATAAATATTAATATAGAAGGAATCAGGCAGACAAGAACTTCAGATAAGAAGTACTACCAACCAGGCTATTGAAAGTCTTGAACCAGAAGAAAAAGATCTTGGAAGGCAGACTCTGAAGTACCAGAGACAGGTTATAGTCCTATTAGGCTATCTGGATTGGGAGTCTGAGATCAAAAACAGAAGTATACTAAAGTACTAGGAATATGCTATAAAGTTAGTACTAAGGTCTGGATGAACTCTGCAAGGGTGAGCCCTATTAATAAGATACTAAATATAGGTAGTTAGTTAGCAGAGGAGCCCTCTTGGAGCCCTACAAGTTAGGTGACATACTTTGAAATATGTAATGGCTTAATGAATGTACAAACAGGAAGGTTATAGTTAGGTTAGACAGTACTTAGATATATGAGAACTTGTATACTATTTGTTAATATAAGTATAGAGATCAGAGTATTTAAATAGGAAATCTCCTAGTAGATTGCAGGTATGGCAGCTAGTATAAAATCTGCTGTGCAGGCAGACTACTTAAATTAGACAACCAAAAGTTATATGTGTGGCTAGTTGTATACTCACCTTGTATAAGTTATGTAATTATAATTAAAATACAATAAAGGCAATAGTTACCAATAACTACAGCTTTAGCAAAAGCAAAAAAAAAAAAATAAATAAATAAAGATACAATGCAGACTAGAACTTCTAAGTAATATAAAACTAATTTAATATATAAAAAGAATTAGTGATAAAATAAAAGATATATAAATAGCAAAATACTAAATATAATACTATCTAAATATAGTGAATATACAGACAATTTAAAATATATAACAAAATATTTTGCAATTTATTATCTAAAAAATATCACAAGTAACTAACTTCTTTATAACCAATTACTTAAAATACTAAAAAAAACAAAAGTTTTTATAATATCAAGAAGTATTATAAAAGAATAAGTATATAAATTGTTGATAATAAATCAAAATTCAAGATCTTTTAATTATCTAATAAATATGAGAAAAGAAGAAATATTTAAAAAAAATAAAAAAAACTAATAGTATCAAAAATAATAGAAAATAAATAAACTCTTTTCTGTAGATTCTAATTTACTAAGAAAATAAAAAATCAAATACATACAACACAGAAATAAGTAAAAAAAACTAAATAATCATATAGCAAAAGCTTATCTTAAGCTGAATAGTAGCAACTAATAAAGAAATATAGATATACCAACAACAAAAAAAATAAAAATTAAAAGGAAAAGAGATAAAGAGACTATTTCTATAACTAAAAAAGATATATAACAGCCTCAGAGCCCACATTGAATTTTTCTTTCAGACTTAGTTACAACTACTAATAAACATTAAGACAACAAATAAAATACCAAAAGACAAAGCCAACAACAAACTAGACAAAACCTATATTGACCAAGCAACAAAAAGAAAACATACACTTCTTTCTAGAGCAAAAAATAATACAAAAAATAGGCAATTAGGCACATCTTTGTTAGATAATACAATGACATCATCTCACACCAATAACAACAACAAACCAGTTGCAACAGATTCTAAAAATGCAAGTATAAATGTGACAGGCAACAATAATAAGCAAATAATTATTTCTCACAATAGCATGCTTTATATTACTATAAATAGCAATAACAACATGCTAATAGAGACAGATACAAATTCAATTGCCAAAAATAATAATGAAATGACTACCCAATCTGTAAAAAATACCCAAGCAACAACTAGCCAAAACACTATACATGACAATGAAGAAAACAACAACAGAATAGAAATAAAATCAGTAGATACAATAGCTAGTCACCAGACAGGATCCAAATCCCAAACCTATAGTTAAGTAACAAAACAAAATATCATAATAAAGAAAAGAATGCAAACTGATAATGAACAAGATTATAACCAATTATAGATAGATACCATTTAGCCAAATACAGTCAACTCTGTATATATCAAACCTGTTTATACTGAAATCAGGTTATAATGGACAAGACTTGACAGACTAGATTTTTAATAATTATTTAAGCTAGTTATACTGAACTAAAGTAGAAAATTCTTTATACTACATCTGAACACTTTTTTATCAACTCATAACTATATATACATATTTCTTTATAATGAATGATCATGTGATATTTTTTACTGACTAATTAGATTTCAAGATTAGTTGCAGTATAATTGGTTACAGGTTAGCCTATTTTTTTGAAATGCCATTTTATCAAAGTTGCAATTCATCTTACTGACAAGGCATAATTATGATATTTCGTTTTCTTGAAATAGCATTTAGGATGTTCTCAAGCACCTTAATCAAATGATCAGAAACAAGTTTTCAATTAGTCAGAAATTGAATAAATGAATCAAATGAATTACCATTCTGATGAAAAAACCAGCACTTTTTTTTCAAAAATTTACCATTGATATAAATTGCTCAAGCATTACTTTTACATTCTTATATTTTTTTGCATATTAAACATTTATAAACAATGAATTCTCAACAAATTTCTAACTGATCTAAAAAATAGTCACTTAAATAATCAATACCTTGTATGAATGTAATAAATAGACTTATATTTTAATCTTTAAGAAAACTATAATGAATATTGTTATTCTATTTTTTGATCCATATTTAATTGGATAATGAAGGTTGTAACTCTTCAAGAACATTTATTATGCTACTTTCAGTATGCAGAATTACTCATATATTCAAACTTTAATATGCATACAATAGTCATTCAAACTTAAATTAAAAACTTGCAAAGCATTCTAGAAATTTTGTAATAAAAAAGATGACCTCATCATAGTTATAAAGTTAAAGACATGGATGAAATTCTTGGCATATATAACTCTATCAGATAAAATAAACTAATTAGCAGTATTTAAGAATATAGTGAACCTTAAGGAGAATGTGAATTTCATTTTTTTATACTCTTCAAGAATCTATTTTAAGCTGTATAAAATTGACAGAATTTGCAGTCTATAATGTTTATATTTGTAAAGGAAACATACAGTTGTAATTTTGATTCTGTTCTTTTTATTAAAGAAAACACTTATTATTATAAGCAGTCAAGTTATAAAAAATTATAAAAATTACAGAAATTTTTGATGCTTACCAAATGTTATAAGATTTAATTATTGAATCAGATTTGTTAAAAAATTAGTCTTTACCTTAAAAATAATAGTATTATTTCATAAACCAAATTGGGTACAATGAGACAATATTTGTTGGATTTATTGTTTTACATTTTCTTGATGTCTTAACACATTGTAGTAAATTTTCTATATCACTCTTCTTAAATATGTTGTAATTGTTTTCTTATTGTTTCCTATTTAACAATAGTTATAATTTGATTTTTTTGTTTCAGTTCTTTTCTGTTAAAATAATAACTGCAGATAGAAAAAATAAAGCTTAATAAACTAATATTAAATATATAGTACTTTGCATAAATTATAGTATACTACAAAAAATTAGTACTATTCCTATTTAATCTTCTAAAGTGTTCTATCAACAGTTGTGCAAGTCAAAACTTCATGCCCATATTTAATTTTAACTAGTGTAATAGTTAATCTAACCCTATTTATTATTTTTTTGATTTGAATAACAAAAATAAGGATACAATATTTCCACACAGAGCTTAAAAAACTATATAAAATGCCAGCCATTCAAAAATATCATTCTTGATATAAGATAAATCAAGAAAAACATATAAAACAATAGACTGCAGGCTGGCAAATTACTATAAGATTTTAAGCCCTGTTTCTATACTATTTCAGAAGCCCTATTTCTACACTATTTCAGTATACAGCATAAGTTACTTGGCTGCATGTTGCATTATCTATACTTATCCATATGAATCTATACTAGTGTCAGAGATTTTTTATTATTTAAACAATAAAAAATCCCTGAAATCATATAAGTCTGACATCCTACATGAAGCATGTTGCATACAATATTTATACCAAGAAAATTATCTGTAATTTATAAATTTATAAATTATTATTAGAAATTCTTCATTGTGCCTTGTATAAATATCTAGTAATTACAGGTTATTCATACCTTATGTCAGTAATTATGTTAACAAAAAAACAAGTTACTCTTTCTGCTAACAAAAATATAAGATTTGTAAAGAAAAGGAAATGAATCCAATTGTTAAAAATATAGATCTTGCAAACAAGTATAGTGTAGAAAAGTCAACTATATCAGATATTTTAAAAGAAAAAGAATGTTGGTTAGCTATTACAACTAAAAAAGAAGGTGAGATAAGAAAATTTCATATGCCAAAATGGCTAAAACTTGAAAAAGCACTTGGTCTCTGGGTGGATAATGCACTTAATAGTGGTCAAGATATTAATAGACATATTCTCAAGAAAAAGGCAAAGTTTTTCATAGAACATCTTCTTATTGATAATTTTCACCAATCCAATAGTTGGCTAACTGGGTTTAAAAAATATTACGGACTTCATAGTTTAAAAAAGAAGGTAAATCTGCAAGTGTGCCTCTCTTGGAGAAAATAGAAAAAGACAGGCTTGTTTTATAACAATTACTTCAACTCTATGATCCTAAAAATATTTGGACTGCAAATGAAACAGGGCTTTATTGGAAAATGGAACCTTCTTGCACTTTGGCTCATTTAAAATTAGCTGAGCATAAAAAAAAAAAGCATGTATATTAATATTATGTGCTGTAAATACAAGTAGAACTGAAAAAATAAAACTTGCTTTTATACACACTTCTATAAGACCATATGCCTTATGAAATATTAACTATAATAATCTTCCTGTTCACTATTATTTAAACAAAAAGGCTTAAATGCAAATAAGTATCTTCAATGATCTTCTCCTCAAGTTTAATAGTTGAATGAACCAAAAAAATAAAAAAATTATACTTCTAGTTGATAGAGTGCTAGTACATGTTGATTTCGATGAAACAAAGGTAAAATTAAACTGTATACAAGTAGAGTTTCTCCTGGCACATATGACCCCAGTCCTTCAACTCTGTGATGCAAAAATTATCTATTCGTTCAAGTGTCACTATAAAAGTCTTTTTATCCAAAATCAGAATAAAGCATATAATGATGTACTAAATGAAGTAGTAAAAGAAATAGTATCATATAATATTTATGATGCTATAATTAATTCAGCTGAAGCATAGTCTATAGTATTGTCAAATACTATTAAAAATTGTTGGTAAAAAACCAGTATTCTTCTACAAGTAAACCCCAAAGAATATATTGAACTTAACCAAAATAGGTATGATTAGTATCGATATTTTTAAAGTGAAATGTAGCTTACATTTTATTTTTTTTAAAAAAAAAATTAAAATTCAAATTCTAGTAATATGGATGATGAATCAAACCTTTTGGAATTAATTGACTACTTACTAACCAATGACTCTTTTAACCTTCTTACTGCATATGAATATATTTTTGCTGAGAATGATAAAGTTGAAAACAGACTTATCTAAGAAGAAATCTTAGAGATTATTGAAAGTGAAGACAAAAATAAAAGTAAGAAAGAAGAGAAAACTCCTATTAAACAAAAAAAAATTACTTATACAGATGCAGAAAATTGTGTAATCTAAACACTAAAGTTCTTATATAAACAAAGACCAGAGTTTGGTGAAGTTGAGGAAAAAGTTAAAATTTTAAGAAAACTTCGCAAGCAGGTTCAGTTAAATATTATAAATAATCTTAAACAAGCTGATCTACGCCACTATTTTTAGTAAAAAAATTTTTTTTAGAATAGTTTTTTTTTTTTTTTATTATTATTTGTGTGTATATGTATGTACATATCTTATATATATACACTTTGTCTTGTGTAGTAATCTGTGCATTTCACAATTAAATTGAATATTTTTTATTATTAAATAAAATTTTTTTCACTCTTGGTCATATGCACATATTTCTATTAGTTAGCTATATATACTAAACTGTTCGATATAAAGAGAGTAATCTTATATAATGAACTTATTTTATACTGAACAAAACCTTTCAGAATATGCAATTCGGTATATACAGAGTTAACTGTATTAGAAAAGATAGCATTGAACCTTTCAATATCAAAAAATAAAATTATAATAAAATTATAGAATCACTCAAAGATAAACAAAAAATTACTGACTTTGTAATATACAAATTACAAACCAAACATACTAATCACACAATTCATCTCGCAATTGAAGCAAAATTTAGACATCTAGATACTGCATTTTTTCTTACCTTCACTTGAACAAAGAAATTTATACCTTTACATCAAGCTGCCTATTAAGAATTATTTAAGAAAGCATTAGTAACATACAAAAACCTAAATTCAATTACTATTACAAACAAAGTAACCAGAGACGTAATATATCAAAAACTTTAACAAAAAATCATGATAAATTTTATAACTAATAAAAACTTCAACAAAGTAACTTCTAAGAAAGTTTATCAAATAATTAAATACTATTTCTTAAACTGTATTTCAGGCAAATTTGCCTAGAAAATTAAATTGTATTTAGTATTTTTTAAATAAAACAATAATTTATTAATGATATAGGGTATACTTTGCTTATGAAATATATTCTTAAAAACATATTTTATAAACTTTATTAT